AGGGGGATGAGAATAGGATTCACTGGTTGAGTTGGGGGAAGCTAACTGAGGTTAAAGCAGTAGGGGGGCTGGGCTTCAGGGAGTTGCATGAATTTAACTTGGCTCTGTTGGCAAAGCAGTTGTGGAGAATTTTGACAAGGCCAAACTTACTGATGAGCAAGATTATGAGGGCCAGATATTTTAAAGGGCGATCCATCTGGAGGACAAAGTGTGCAGGTGCTGATTCATGGTGTTGGAAGAGCTTGATGCAGGCTAGAGATTTACTAGAAGAGGGGCTGAGGAAGCAGGTAGGTGATGGTAAATCTATATACATTTGGAAGGATAGATGGCTTCCAGACACTGAGGATGGGAAGGTAAAAACTAGGAAGGGGGAGGGGGTTGAGGTGCAGAGAGTGTGTGAGCTGATCAAAGATGGGGAATGGGACAGAGAATTGATTAAGCAGGTTTTTGATCAGGATGAAGGAAGGAAAATTGTGGGAATTCCACTCAGTTTGGAGCCAAGAAAAGACAGGTTGTATTGGGCATTTTCAACCACTGGGGTCTACACAGTCAAGTCTGGATATAGCTTGGCCAAGAGCAATGTAAGGAGGGGGAGGCAAGGAGAGCAAGAGACAGGAACTAGTTGTAGGAAAGGAGGGGCTACACGAAATTGGAATTTCCTCTGGGGATTGAATATGAAGTATAAGTTGAAGCATTTTGTGTGGAAATGTCTGCAAGGCATTTTACCCGTGAATGCAGTAATTAAGGACAGGTGCTTGCAAGGGGATCATATGTGTAAAGGATGTGGGGAGAGTGTAGAAACCATAGAGCATATGTTGTTTTTCTGTAGGAATGCAACGCGTATATGGAAAGCAGCCCCGGTGAGTTGGGAAGGACTGGAGGATCACAGAAGTAAATTCTGGTCGTGGTGGGAAGAATTAGAGGGAGCTGTTAGTCAGGAGAGGGGAGTAGAACGTATTATACTGACTGTCAATGTATTGTGGCAAATATGGAAATCTAGAAATGAGAAACAGTTCAATGGTCAGGAAAGGAATCCGTTAGTAGCAGTGAGTAAGGCAGTGGGGGAATGGAAGGAATTTCAGGATGCTCAAGCTGAGGAATTGGAGAGTCAGGGAAGTGGTAAGCATGAAGCTGAGGGATCAAAGGGGTGGAGGCTTCCTCAGGAGGGTTGGGTCAAGATAAACACAGATGCTGCATTACAGCAGAAGGAAGGCCTGGCGGGGTGGGGAATGGTTGCAAGGGACTGGCAAGGAAAAGTTCTGAAAGCCTGGGCAATACCAAACCGTAGCTGTTCTAATCCAAAACTGGAAGAGTCAATGGCATTACGAGCAGCTATGTTGCTGGCAAAACAGCAGGGTTGGAAGAAGGTGATGTTTGAATCGGACTGCCTACAGGTGGTGGAGGAAATTAACAAGGACCAGTCGCATGAGATAGGCTCAGTAGTTTTAGATGATATTAGGGATCTTAGAACAAATTTTTATGAATGTTGTTTTACCTTTACTCGAAGAGTAAACAACTTTGTTAGCCATAGACTTGCCAAGTTGGCAATTAGCTTAGAAAAACAAACTGAATGGAAGGATATCTTCCCAGATTGGCTGCCTGCACTGGTGCAAGCAGATACTGAGGGCAGTTGCCCATCTTTCATGTAAGTTTACGTTCAGTAATAGAATGTTACCGACCTTTTGACAAAAAAAAAAAAAAAAAACGGGACTAGTTATTGAAATTTTTTATTCTATTTAGCTTAATCAATCTTAATATAATCCGGGGAGAATTGGGTTGGAGATAAAAAGGAGGATAGTAAGTAAGAGGCCACTTACAAAAGATTAAATCTTAATCTAATCCAACAGGACTGTACAGAGCACGTTACAAAAATTCTAAAAAATAGCAATCTAAACGGGACTAGTTATTAGCTACATTCCATTTCTACAATAATGATTCTGAGTTAGTAGATGGTAATAAATAAGTAAATAACTGCATTGCCATCATTCACGTGTAGACATCAAATATTTCTCGATAATCGTCATAGGGATGGTACCAAAACTTATATTGATCCCGACTCTTTGATTATAACTCAGCTATATGAATATAAAAGTAGTAGTATCAAGGAAGGGATTTAATTACTTCCTTGGGTTACAGGTGAGAGTTCAAATTTCACCTGCAACAAAAAAAAATAAATTTAGGAGTGGTACTATAGCATCTCCTTAATTTAGTCAGGTCTATATATCTCCTAACCTCTAATACACAAAACCTCCTTAGACTCCCCTCCCTTGTAGATTGGAATAGAATATGTTTTATAGTTGTTATCTTTGCAAAAATATATATATATATATATATATAAACTTTCTTCGTAAGTGCAACTAAATTAGAAAAAAGATTTGAATTATCAGTCCTCGTTCTTTATTTAGTAGATGCATGCATTGATGTTTTGCCACATGTATGAAAGAGCGAAGAAATCTGTCATATATATAATTGGAAAATCCTATACTAAGCAAGAACTTGAGTAATAGAAACAAATAAATGAATAATCCACCTACTTAATTTTAATTTTATGAATTTTCATGTTTGTATTTATAGGTTAGAAAACGTCGTAATTTTTTTTTTTTTCAGTTGGAAGGTGTCCGGGTCTCACCCCGACTAATCCTACCAATCCCGAGGAGAGCGGACCCCACCGATCCTCAGGAAAATACCCCAGGCAGCCCAAGTGCGGAATCGAAATCAGAACCGGCGCCTTAATGAAGAACACGAAGTCCGCCCGAGCTGCCTGTGGGGGGCTAGAAAACGTCGTAATTTAAAGTTGATTTTTATAGGTGGACTGTATATAATTTACCTTGGAACAATGAAGGAGGAGGCCATCAAGATGATTTAATAATGGTTCTACTTTCCTTGTTGGGCCCGTTGTAACATGTTAAAGTCAAAGCCACAATACCGTGATAGAAAGACAGGCAGGAATCTTAATTTATTTTATAATTTCAGTGGCTGATAATCGATCTTAAATCTAGTTCTTTTCTTCTTTTTTTAAAAAAAAAGAAAAAAGAGAAAGAAAATTTTGGGGCTCCTGTCAAATTGATGAGATGTTTCCTATATTAGCTGTAAACTGTCTCCCTCTGTCTGGACTTTGGGCCAATGTGCACTTTTGTGATCCAGGTTTGCAGCCGCTAAAGCAAAAATTGTGTATGTGGATCCAACTGTGTTTGCACTTTTAAACCCACCAATCAAATCGCATTGCTACCATGAATCATCACAACCTCTTTTTTTTTTTTTTTTTTAAAAAAAAAAAACTGCGCAGTAAAAGGAAGTAAAACTTTGACGATTACATGTTTGATCTGTCAAATATGGGTATCCTATGGCAAAAATGAGTTTGGATTAATTCTCACATGCACATGAATTAGCAGTCAGTTTATAATTTGTAAGCATTTTTAGGATAGACGAAATCCAAATTACACAGTCGAAAATTGCCGGTTGAGTTGGTCCAACCAAGAAAGAAATGAGTTTGTTTGGATAGAGAGAATTTGGAAAAAAAAATTCTGCCTCACAAATCTCAATCACTTTTTTATCTTCCCAATCACTTTTTTATCTCATACACATCACATCACAAAAAGTGCTACAGTAAATATCTCAAATAAATCATCCAAATAAACTCTTATTCAAACAAACTCATACTCTTTTTAAGTTTTCCAAAAGGGGAGAGATGGCTGTGAAAATAATAAATAGCCAGAATTGAACTCATGATTCGTAAGTTGCAACGCGTCAGCATTCAAGTGTGTTTGGATTGTAAGTTATTTGCCCAAATATATTTGCTTACACCACCATTACAATTTCCAATACACCTTTTTATCTTCCCAATTACCTTTTTATCTCACATACATCATATCACAAAAAGTGCTACAGTAAAAATATCTCAAATAACTTACAATCCAAACACACTTAAATTTATTTCGCCACAGCCGTAACCTATCTTAATCGGTCGTGTCCTCACAACTTGAAGAAGACCAGATTCAGTTTTCAATCTAGCATTATTTCTGCCAACATCGTGGTTGACGCTTTAAAGGTTAGAAGTTTTGGGCTCAATTGTCATTGAAAATGTTTTATAGCAAAAAAGTTGATACTGCTTGAAGTTTATTTTGTTCATCAACTTGATTTGTCGAAATTTTTTACTTACTTTTCTTTAAAATCGCTTCGTTTCGAGTGTTAAATGAGATCAAGGGGTGGGGGGTTGGAATTATGGTAATTTTACTTCAAATTTTTATCATTTATTTTCTGTTTTTTCAACGAAGGTGATTAGGAGTGATTCAAGAGAATTAGATTATCTCACCAACTACTTCTTTTATCGAGGAAGTGCAATAAACAGATGTGGGCTGGAAGTGGACTAGAATTGATGATCACCACAATTTATGGGATCTAAAAATAAGAAATTCTTTTTTTAATCAATTATCAACTGCTACATTACTTTTATTCTAGTCTACCTGAAAGAGGATCCAACTAAATAGGAGAACTAAATAGAGTGATTTTCATCTCTAAATAACAGTGATGTAGTGCTGCACATGCTTTAATTTTTACTGCACCTTGCAGAGGTTAAAATCCCTTGTTTGCAGTTTGGCTTGCATTTTATGCTTTTATCAACACCTAAGAAATTCACTAGACCATTGAGATGAGAATGGCAAATCAGCATGGAAGAATGCAGAATAGAATAGGATGACACCTTGGCTACACAAGTGGGACCAAAAGACAACAAAGACAATTTTTCATAGCCACGTCGACAGTGACTAGGATGAACCAAAATGAAGCCTCAAGCCTCAAGCCTCAAGTCCTAAATATAAGGAAAATTCATAACCAAAAATAACAGAAGATACTCCAATATATCCTAATGGCCAGAAGTTTCATTTTTTGGTGGATGGATTTGCCAGCGCATGGATAGCTAAGTGGATTTAGTGGGCCCCTTCTTTAATCCAAGACGACTGCTGCTTCTCTTTAAAACGTGGGTCAAATCAGACGGTTATAATGGGCCTACTAGGCCCTGCCTTCTTCTCGCTACTTGGATCACTAGTCACCACTCGCTAGAACTAGATGCGTGAAAAATGAAAATGTTGAAGAAATTAGCATATAATAATATCGACCCTTCTAGTTCTAGGGCCAACGTTAAAAGGCACTTTCCCTCCCAAGATCCTCAAGTGTGGTGTGGGTATTAGCAATGATGAGGATCGAAGTCGTACGGTACGTCAAAAGGATAGCTTTTTTTTTTTGAGTTTTTTTTTTTTTGCACTTCTCTTTGCAAATAGATTATTCTAATTTTCCTTATTCGGAATAAATTAATCCAATTTTAGATGGCAATTAAGGCAATTAGGATTGGATGTGAAATCTAGTGGATATGATCTTAACGGCTTTGATTTTAGGGCTTGTCTAATGAGTGCCCAACTCTCGTTAAAATATAATTTATGTGTCATATTTTATAAATATAAGATTAATTAGAGAAAGTAAATAAATACAAAAGATGGTAGGTAGGATTAAATAGAAAAAGTATATAAATGTAAATGAAGGTAATAGTAATTATTTTATATATATATGGTAAGTTGAGTGAATTTTATGTGTATTAACGAATGTTCAATGAACATCTATTTGTTAGAAAAATCCTCAACGGAATATTATCGTTGCAGAAAAAAATAATAATTATGCCATTAACATGTAATACTATGGATCATATTATTAATCAATTAAGTCTTTACGCTGATTTTTTACTATACAATATATAATGCCTAAGGAATTGCAATTGGTGTATAGACTTTTTGTCATCTTTTGAACATTCAATTTTACCGTTACAAAAATTAATTTTTATCCTATTCACTTAATCAAATTTTGCCAATATAACTACTTATAACCACCCTAAATTCTATCGTGAAAATTTATATAAATATTGTATGTAAGAAACAAAATTTATACAAAATTGATTCACTACACACATTGGATGTGGTCTTGACACTAGTACCGTTTAATGTGGCATGGAGCTTCAAGTAGACGCTTTCCCCTGGTACATTTAGCAACTAAAATTAACAAACACTCAGAATTCTTTGAAATACTTCTTCTGTTCTTTGAAATTTAACGAGATTATGTTTAGGCCCTTATAGCTTGCTTTTTTGTTCAGCGATGTGATTCAGTAAACCACTGGAAAATCTTTTTCCGGACGGACCTTGAATACTACTGTTGGTATTCTTGCACAAAAGAAATGGAGGGTCACATCTTGAAGGCTGGCTCTGCCGGTCCGGTCCGATCGGAGAAGGTGCTTGTCATGAAGTGATCATTAGGCCAATTATAAATCTAAACTATGATTTATGATCATTTAACAGACAATTTGTTTGATTAAAACCTAATTTAGGTTTGGACGGTCAGCAGTTAGCAAGATAGGTTTATAATATTAATGTTTTTAATTTGTTTATACGTGATATCATGGGAACAGAATACCATTTAGAATTGGTGGCCTCGGGCCAAAGCAAAGGCCACGAAAATATTAATTAAATAGTTCCAACCTCAGCGCCAGGCAGAGAGGCTCATTAATCAAATCTGGTGCGTCATCCTCGTAGACGGCCGACTTTGACTCTTTCATCCCAAACACATGAAACTGCTGCCATGTTCATTTTGGCTTTGTCTCCCACTCCACCCGGATATGACTCACCTCCATCTGTAATCCAATCTCCAATCCCCGCCCCCACCCACCTCCTCTCCGAAAAAACCCCCAACAAAAAAAAATTTGGATGGTGGATTATATATATATATATATATATTTATTTACATTATCAATATATTTTTAAGTATATTTTTTATTTCACATACATCACAGCAATACTCAATCTTGTTTTGGTGACTTATTTATTGTGAGTTTGATTGACAAATAAGTAGTGCCAGCCTCGATAACTTTTCTGTAATTGAGGATGGAAAAAGAATTATTAGCTCGATCTTGTAGAGATAATTATTAGGAGGTCATAAATCTTTCACCTCCTAATAATTATCTCTAACTTATCCATAAAGCAAAACTAGCTCTCTCCATCCACAGAGCAAGTGATCCTGAAATAGTTTTCCTTTTGCAACTTGCGCGACAAATGAGAGGCCTTGAGATACTATAATAGGGAGGAGAATTGTGGTTATTTGTAATGTGACAGGTGCATACACCATACATTTAATCTAAAGTAATATTGAAGTATGATCCACAGTGTTTTTTAGTCAAATCTCGATATTCAAATGCCACTGGTCGTGTGTTTGGATAGCTCAATTTTATCAAATAATATTTAGTTTACGTCATAAACACATTTCTCGATCCATCTTTTTTTATTTTTAATTACATTTTTATCTTACATACATCACATTACAAAAAGTGTTATAATAATTATTTCAAATAATATTCTGTCCAGACAAAAAAGTGCTACTGTTGTTTAGCTTATTAATGAACATTGCTGGCTAGATCAAGCAATGTAAACAGCTCTTTGCACGTTTCGGAAAACCAAGATATAAAGTTGCCTCCTTTAATGACACTACTATTAGCTTTGTTAAGATCTTGATCTTTTGGGCATTTGGAGACAATAGTGCAAAAGTTTGTTTACTTGCATCATCAACATGTTTTTTGAACCGTTTTTTTCTTTCATATACGTCACACCAAAAAAGTGTTACATATTATTTTTTCAAAAAATTATTTCATATAATCTACTATCCAAACACACGACTGAAATTATTGTGCTTCATGTTAGGCAAAACCATGTGGATTTTTTGTGCCCATGATTAGAGAGTAATTGAAGTGCCAGGACATCATCAACCGGCAAAGCCTTCCATTCTGCTCAGCAATCCTTGGGTTACAGGTTACTCACTCATACTTCCACAATGCATTTGTCGCAGGACCAATTAATTACTGTAGGATAGGAGCAGGAGATGGGATTCATTTTCAACAGCCTGTATCCATTCCAGTATCCGTTTCAAAGTTTCGTTCCGTCTTTCTTAAGACTGTGCCGTCTAATGTTGGCTATTAAATGCATTGCTGGTCATCATCTCTCTTGCTACACATTACCTAATCTTCTCCCAGTTTGGTTAAATGGGACCGGGCCAATCCCACCTTTTTTTATCCCTCTGGTCAAGGTAACAAATTGGGCCTCTCTGCTCTGGGACCATTGGCTCAACCACCAAAAACCCACCTGCATTTTAATTTATCTGCATTTTCCTCGTAGCCAACTTGAAATATTTGCAAGAGAGATAGATGGTCAACTAGCTGGTGAAGACATCTGAAATGAAAAGTTCCTAATATCACAGATCATCTGCTTTTGATTTTCATGATAGGTGTTAACAAACTCCTGGAGCACATGCACCGCTTGACTCAATTGACGCCCGGAGAGTGATTAATCACGTACCCAGAAGCAAAAGTCGAATACCTTCAAGCTGTACCATTTGCTGACCAGAAAAGAAGAAACTCTTACATAACAATAAAGAGTAACAAGACATTCTTCCCCTGAAAATTTTCTTGCTATAAAATGTAACTCCCCAGTGTTTTTTGTGTCCTGGATCGCCATTCAACATGGCCTTCTTGGCATGCTTAAAACAGTTAGCGACAAAAATGTGGATGGGAGGATAGACGAGCTTCAACAGATAGGGTATTATCCGCCGGCCGATGGCAGGGAAGGAAGAGGGTCCAACCAATGCACTTTACGCCATTTTGGACCACTAAGGCCTAGTGATGCAAAAGTACAATTAGCAACTTCCCACCACGAAGAAGGCTTTTAAACTAGTAGTAATTAGCATTCTGTCATTATCAGTATCATTAAACACGGATATCATTGAGCCTTGTGTCTGATAATTACGTGCTGAAAGCTAGCTGGAGAGGTCATTTGAGCTAATAGATTGAACAAACATTTTGGTTCTGAAATTTCGGTTGAAGAGATCAGGATAACACATCAGCCATCTGATTCTTATTCATCTCCTGTATTGTAGGTTACACAGCAATCATGTTTTTTGTCATTAGCTGGTGATCATCTTCTTGGCCTTCATGAATATTATTGATCAGCAATTATTTCCATGAAATTGTTGCGTACAGGGAAATGGATCTTATCATCCTAGTCATAAATGAAAGGCCCTTCTTTTTTTCTTTTCTTGGCTTTTCCTTAATGTTTATCTGATGCACAATTGGGATAGGAGATAGGTTGTTGAGTGATTCCTATCTCATTTTCGTGTTGGATAAGCCTACCTAAGAATTTTGAGTTGGAAATGAGGAAAGAACATGTGGAAAGTGTTCTATCAAAGATTTCTTAAGAACACAAGTAGAGACATTTTTTGTTTAACGAAGTTGAGGCTGTTTACAATAGTTTGATCTTATGAACCGAAAAAAGGCTTAGTAAAAAAAATTGAAGAAAATGAAAACAAAAAAGGAGAAAAGAAAAGGTATTCCACTCATTAAAAACAAAAAAAATGATAATGTCCCTAAATTTTTGTAGCGTGCAATGCATGCGAACTATCTTCTACCTCCTTCGCCCACCAGCCTTGTTCCGGGACGGGTTTGACACATATCTTTCTGGGACGGGTCCTCTAATGAAGGTCCACTTCATCCCCAAGAGGATGGTGGACTGGAGAAATTGTGTGCAATTTTGTTTAAGCTGCCTGAGAAATTTTGCCTTATCTTAGGAGGGATGCCAAGGGGTGCTTGCGCTGCCTAATGCGAACCACACAATCCGTTGAGAATCTTCGTGGACGGTATAATGTGAAAAGCCTTTCCCTGCGTATTTCTATTTTCGAGTCTTCATTAGGTTTCAACATCAATCTCCGTCGAACCCATAGCTATATTTCATGTCATCTTCACATATAATAATAGAGTTACTAGAGATTAAGCACAGGCTATTGTCTTTGGTCCATTCTAAATTTGAATTGGCGGCGTCAAAGCCCACTTACTTTTCATAGTTTGGGCTGCACATACTTAACCCGGACTTCTCAGATACAATCTACATCTGGTACGATACTTAGACTGGTCCAAGCCTACGACCCGATAGACGAAGAGTCCAACAGGAAAGGCCTAAAGAATGCAGTTATGACAATTGGCCATTTACAGATAACTCTTGAAACATTCCCTCAAATACGTTTCCATACATTTGATCTTTATACCACCATTAACAACCAGTGCATGGGTTTCCGGCAGAGTTGTCCATTTGTCTCCGGACATTCAATACATTTTTCTTCCAAAAGGAAAGAAGAAAGTAACCCAAACTTTTCTTCATGCATCTTACCCGCCAGAAGCGTTCACAAAGTCCTTCAATGCCCTTCCCCTGCAAATATGAAGCAAAGGAACAATGGCACGTTTCGTGTTGAATTTCTGATATTACCCAGTCGAGGGCGGAATTTGATCTAACACTATGGTAGATCCATTGATTAATTTCTTACAGACTCAATACTGTTAGTAAAGTAGTAAGTACTACTACTTTGGGTGATGATAAGTGTTCCACTATTTGTGCATGTACGAACACGGAATAGGATTCCTAAGGACCGCCAACGCTGAGCTTTTGATCCGTCGGTCATCACTACGACTTTAAAGTTTCGATCGTGCACGAGAGGTCAAATGTTCGAATCTTGCTTTCTACCGATCACTATTTGTGGCTTTCTCCTCCCTTAGATTAGAATAAAACTTACTATTTGTGATTTTCTCTTCCCTTATATTAGAATAAAGTAAATTATATAAATGTTATCGTTGTTAAAAAGAGCCAGAAAAAAGAGTAGACTGGCGTGATTGGAGGAGAAGATCTCAGGTGCCTCAGCGCACAAGTGACAGGTTGAACTTTGAAGGCATGGTTTTGCCATTTACTTTAACAGATAGCGCTTTTTAACGACTTACTCGACTGAACCACGCTTAATATAGAAAGATTGCTAAAGTTTCCGAGAACCCGATATCTCGCACCGAGGGTGTCACGACTTCCAGTTCCAGGGGGTGAGCCTTCTTGGTGCCCAAGAACATCGCCGACTAGCACATAAACCGACCACGACCACGACCACGATTTTAGCTACAACCACCCTTCTGCTACACCAATTCTCCTCCAAAATCCAAAGTCGAAAGGTTTCCCCTCTATTTTTCTGTTTTAGATTCTCCTCTTAATCCTACAAATTAACCTTCATTTTCCTCTTAATTGAACCACACCCGCACCGGTTCCAGAGAGTCACCAGCAGCATGAGCCGCTACGATAGCCGCTCCGCCGACCCCGGCTCATACCGAGACCGCCGGAGGTAAAACCCTAATATTTCCTGACGCTCTGATTTTGAGCTTGCCTAGGGTTTATGCTTAATAGTGAGCTAGTTTACAGACGATTTCAAGACGAAATTAATTTTGTGGGTTTTAATAGTGATTCAGGTTTCGGAGGGAGCTCGAACTACCGGTCGACGACGACCACAACGAGTAGGAGACACAATGATGTTGCGGATTCGCCGCGAAAATCGGAGTTGGACGGGTTGACTCCGTTCGAGAAGAATTTCTACGTGGAGGCGCCATCTGTCGCCGCAATGTCGGAGGGTGAGGTGGAGGAGTACAGAAGGCGGCGGGAAATAACTGTTGAAGGCCGGGATGTCCCCAACCCGGTTAAGAGTTTCCAAGACGTAGGTTTTCCAGGTATGTCCACAAGGAACACCTCCATCAATCTGTTGCTAATGTTGAAAATTTGGTGATGATAATCAGATATCAATGTACTTGTCTTAGCTAATTTGTTCAAATCTGTTGAGACTATTATCGAGGATGCATATTGCGAGAAATTTACAGTTCCTTTCAAGTTAACTTGGGCAATTGAATATAGTGTTATCTTTTGCTTCTTATGTCAGCCTAGTCAAATTTATTACTTCTTCTGAAGTCATAGGTGCTCTAGTCTTGGTTCACTTGTTCACAACTTTCGGTATTTGGTATATGACTTATTGTGCTTCAGAATCTGAGAGATAGAATTACTAGGTCTTGCTTTTTTACGTTGTTGTGGACTGCTTTCTGAGAGGCCCTGCCTCTCTGTTTTTCCTGGCAGTTAGTGTCATTTCTAACGCAGCTGCTCCTTTTAGTTTCATAACATGTTAATCTTCTATTTATGTTTGTTGAAAACCTGAAAACTTTCATCTAAAATTCATGGTTTCAGATTATGTCATGCAAGAGATTGAAAGAGCTGGCTTTTCTGAACCTACACCTATTCAAGCTCAGGGATGGCCTATGGCTTTGAGGGGCCGTGATCTCATAGGTATTGCAGAAACTGGATCAGGGAAGACATTAGCGTATCTATTGCCTGCAATTGTGCATGTTAATGCTCAGCCGTTTTTAGGTATACCTTGCTCAGTAATGTCTCCATTGTAGCTTAGGCAGTCTTATATTTTCTGGTTTTGATCTGATCACATGATTCTTGATGCATCTTCATCTTTAGCACCTGGAGATGGTCCAATTGTTTTAGTTTTAGCTCCAACTCGTGAACTTGCTGTTCAGATTCAACAAGAAGCTACTAAATTTGGTGCTTCATCAAGGATTAAGAATACCTGCATTTATGGTGGGGTTCCTAAGGGACCTCAAGTTCGTGATCTTCAGAAAGGTAGGTGGAGTTAGCTCAACGTGACTTTACTACTGTATCGTGATGTTCAAGGATCGGGTATCTCCTACAGCTTCTTTTCCTTCCTAATTTTCTGGGCAATAGTGTAATATTGTATCATTTCACTGATGATCATAGCCATGCCCTGTAGGTGTTGAAATTGTTATTGCTACACCTGGACGGTTGATTGATATGCTGGAATCTCATCATACAAACCTGCGAAGGGTTACATATCTTGTGTTGGATGAGGCAGATCGGATGCTAGATATGGGCTTTGAACCTCAGATTCGAAAACTTGTTTCTCAGGTTCTTTTCTAGAGACTGTACTTGAGTTTTCAGGCCATATTACTTTCAACTATTGATGCATAATTATTGTTGATTTTGGCCTTGCCTTTTTGTTTTTTTAAATTCTTATTGGAGGTGGTTTAGGAGTAAGGGGAGATTATTTTGTTGATGATTTTTCCTTCCAAAATGTTGTCTTGTCTGCCATCTTTTTGACTGTTCAACCTAGACCATGGATTAAGTTTATTTTGAGGATATCAATGCTAGCAGAAGTATTTATCTTGAAATTTTGACGTCCTTAGTTGCATATGCATCTTCTTGCTATTGTAGTTGGAATAGTCTTCTAGGTTCACATAGTGGCGCATAATGCCTAAAAATTTTTCACCATTTTTTCACATCATACATTCTTGTTTTTCTTTTTATAAAAATATTTTAGAAGGAAAGGTTATTAGAGCTTTTTTAAGTTATACGGATTCTTCTTATCAAGGTTATTGGTGGTATAGGTAAGACAAAAAATGCATACCAGCTTTCATCTGTATGCCTGTTCCTGGTATGAATTCAAGAATTACAGAACACATTTAAGAAATTTCAGTACATAGTATGTTGTTTAATCACCTAGATACAAAGGTTATTGAGTAGTCATCCAAACGAATTATGTTTGATAGGCATTCTTATAGAAATTCATTTACATTTCCCTTAATAACTGAATGTTTTGTTTTGCCTTTTGCAGATTCGTCCAGACCGTCAGACTCTTTACTGGAGTGCTACATGGCCCAAGGAAGTTGAGCAACTTGCAAGGCAATTTCTTTTCAATGCATACAAAGTAAGAATCACGAGATAAATATGTTGTTTACTTGTTAACAAAATTAATTGTCATTCTGAGTGATTTGCTCTTGTGCACTTCAAATTTTTGCATTGCATAGAGACTGCTGTTTGACCTAATGTGCCTACATTGACTTTGATTGAGTTCCCTTGCTTTGTTGACTATGTAGTTTTACTTGTTAAAACAATTTTCAGTGTGGCTTGCTATCATATGCAATGGACCCATTTTACGAGTCTGTACATTTTCTCATGTCAGGTGATCATAGGTTCAGCAGATTTGAAGGCTAACCATGCAATTCGTCAGAATGTGGACATCGTCTCTGAGAGTCAGAAATACAATAAGTAGGCTTATGTTCTTGCTTGAACCCCCCCCCCCCTCCCCGGCGGCCCAATCCCCCAACCAGCTTTACATATTGCGAGTTTCTCCATGCTAAAGTTTTTACCTCATTAATTATGT